AGGGACCCTAAATATAAAAGAGTAGAAATCAATAAATAGTATCACATTTCAATGCATTCTTTCTACTTACCTCGAGGTAAATAATAATCCACCTCGCATGGACATATTTCTCTCGAAATAATGGCGGATATACTTGGCATACGTCAATACGTTTGCCACGCGAGAGCAACGGACTTTATATAGCGGAATATTATACATGTTGCGTGTTTTATCGAAGTTTCCCCCAAAAAGTTACGAGACTTAGATGTTCCGTGTTCCGCCTGATACTCTTTCCTTTTTATTTACATTTACTTTTTTTTTTTCTTTTTTACCTCCGGAAGTTAAACCAGTCGGCCTGACCTTTAAAATCCGAAAATCATCGCATGCTCTTGCACCATAAAGATTTACATGCGTCCACTCCGCTGGCTCTTAAATCTGCTGAAAATGTCGAAATCTATTGTCGTCTTTTCTCTCCTAATCTGAGAAATGTGGTTTTGCGGGCGAGGCTTTCAGGCTCACGCCCCGCTCTCTCCCTCTTTCCTGTCTTTGTCTTCCCATTCCTTTCTTTCTCTCTCTCTCTCTCTTCCTTTCTCTCTCTCTCTCTCTCTCTCTCTCTCTCTCTCTCTCTCTATTCTTCTTCTTCTCTCTCTCCCTCTCCTTCTTTCTCTCTTTCTCTTCTCTCTCCCTCTCCTTTCTTTCTCTCTCTCTCTTTCTCTTTCTCTCTCTCTCTCTCTTTCTTTATGTATGCATGTCTGTATGTACTGCGTGTATGTATGCATGTATGTGTGTACGTTTATGTTTGTTTGTGTATGTGTGTGTTGATGTGTATTTGAGCGCGCGCGTGTGTGTGTGTGTGTGTATTGTGTGTGTGATTGTGATTGTGTGTGATTGTGTTGTGTGTGTGTGTGTGTGTGTGTTGTGTGTGTGTGTGTGTGTGTGTGTGTGTGTGTGTGTGATTGTGTGTCTGTGTGTGTGTGTGTGTAAGCGTGTGCAAGCTTGCGTGCGTCCACGCGTGTGCTTGTGGCCGAGACAAATGGACAAAAAATGCCGAAAAGTACTAAAGGGAACGGGCGCGCGAGCAAGGTAAAGGAGAGGGAGGGAGGGAGGGAGGGAGGGAGGAGGGAGGGAGGGAGGGAGAGAGGGAGAGAGGGAGGAGAGGGAGAGGGAGAGGGAGAGGGAGAGGGAGAGGGAGAGGGAGAGGGAGAGGGAGAGGGAGAGGGAGAGAGAGAGAGAGAGAGAGAGAGAGAGAGAGAGAGAGAGAGAGAGAGAGAGAGAGAGAGAGAGAAGAGAGAAGGCCCCGCCACGCGTCCGCCGAACCGCAAAAAAGCAGAAAGCAAATCAGCGAAGACTCCAACTCGAGGCGAACCGCCGGCGCAGATGTTCCGCAAATGATGAAACAGAAATTCCCGTGATAGCCTCCTTCCTTTCCCTCCCCCTACCCCCTCCTCCTCCTTTCTCCTCTTCCTTTCTCCCCCTCCTTCTTCTCTCCATTCTCCCCTTTCTCCTCCTCCTCCTCTCCTCTTCTTCCTCCTCCCCCCCTCTACCTATTCCTTATCTTTATGTCTTCCAATCTCCTCTCCCGCCTCCTTCTCTCCTTCATATTCCTTATCGCTTCCAATTTCTTCGGCTTCTCCTTCCTTTACCCCCGTTCATTCTTTTTTTCTCTCTTCTTCTTCCTCTTCCAATTATTTTTCCTCCTCTTTTTGTTCTAGATGCTGCTGCTCCTTTGCGGTGAGCGTTTTGCCTCACCAAATGCCGCGCAAATTCAATTCCAAGGAGCAGTTTCACCCGCCTGTGAAAGCTTTACTCTCTCTCTCTCTCTCTCTCTCTCTCTCTCTCTCTCTCTCTCTCTCTCTCTCTCTCTCTCTCTCTCTCTCTCTCTCTCTCTCTCTCTCTCCATTTTTCTCTCTTTCTCCCCTCTCTCTTTTTCTCCCTCCTCTCTTTTTTTCTCCTCCCCTTCTCTCTCTCATTTCTTCCCCTCCCTTCCCCCCCCTCTCTCTCTCTCTCTTTCTCCCCCTTCTTCTCTCTCTTTCTCCCCCCTTCTCTCTCTTTCCCCTCCTCTTTCTCTCTCCCTCCCCCCCTCCACCAAATGAACCAGGCCCTATGCTAATGAATAAAAGTGAGGAAGCAAGGAACAACTGGCTGAAAGGGGCATTGGCGCTTTGGCGTAAGGGCCGTGAGTCAACTAGCGAGTTCATGAATGAGTGAATGGGCGATTTACAAGCGTGAGTGAAGGGCAAGTTAGTGAGGCGAAGAGAAGAATGATTAAAGAAACTAGTTTGGAGCAAGGCAGTTATTACAAAAGGAGGAGGAAAGAATGGGCAAAGTAAAGATATTAAGAAACAAATGAAGTAAATGCTTAATAACACGTATCACTGAGGGATAATGTCATAATGACGACAATGGTAATGACAATAAAACACAGTAAAACACAAATCGATAGACCTACAATGATAATGATAACAAGTAATAATTTTATTGCTGTAATAACAA